TCTACCCAGCTCACCTCTTTTTCATTAATTTTCTACATATGAGAGGAAAGGCTAAAAAGGCCTCCTCAGCCACGTAAGAACTCATTGCTTTTTTACAATACAATTTTTTAAATGAAGTTTAGCAGTGTGATAAGAAAAACAAGAATGTGTAATTAAATTACAGTGGAAACGTCTATAAACTGAAAGTCAAGTACTTTCAGAGGTTTCTTTGTAGCTGACTTTCCACAGCTTTCTGGCTCACCATTTGAAGTATGGGGTTTTATCTTAATATTTCCCAAAACAAAATGGAGTTTAAAAATTGAATGTGATGCTTGGAAGCTAAGTTTAATACATCTTGGCTGCTACCTGTTTCATCATAACAATAAGTTGAACTGGTAGTTTACATAAATTTATCTAGGGTAAAAAAGGAACATTTTAGTTAAAAAAGAAAGAGTAACTGCCATAGGCTAATGTTACAGAGACAGATTTTACTTTCTGAATGTTGATGATTTTATAAACAGTGAAATGGGTCATGTTGTTAGAATGGATAAAAGATAAAACAATGCCTTACAGAAATATTAAATGTAAAAGAGTTGGTGCATTTAAAAATACATTTTAATTATATTTGATTAGAGAATTAAGTGTATAAAGTGTTCCACTTTTTTTTTTTTTTTTTTTTTTTTACTTCTTGATAAATTTTAACTACTTTGACATCTTTTACTATGCACAGTGTAGAAAGTGTCTTTAGGTGGAGCAACCACTAAATTTTTTTTTGGAATTTATTTTCTTAACCTACATGACTTTCTTGCCATCTGATCCACTCCTCTTAATTTCAGTTTGGTTTACTTCTGCATTCACTTCCGCCAAGTTGCCAGGTTTTGTCACAAACATTACATATGCATAAATTGTAATTTGCAGGTTTTTTCAAAGTTTTATTTAGGATTAGTGTCAGCTTCTGCTCTTTGCTTTGAGAAGCTTTGATATAGTATCAGGAATCACTGCAGAGAAAGCCTAGAGTAGTCACCAGTGAAACAACGTAACTGAATTTATTCTCCCTCTGAGGTGCCTATATGTGGTAACACTAGGGTGAAGGGATGTTTCTTGCTTAACAAGGCATAGAAATTCATTATAAAAAATGCAGAAGCCTAGCTCAAAGCTGCATTCAGTAGGTCACCAGTCATTTCTGGGGCTGCTGCTGTGCCAGCAGCAACATGGCCCATTTCCTCCTTTTCCATTGCATCCCTGATGCCACGAGGTCAGTAGGACCTAGTCCTGATTTCTGCTGTGGGCTATTTGCCTTGTTTTTGTATAATGTGTCAGTGGTTTGGCACTGAAGGTCAGTTTGTCTGCTGTATCCTGCACAGGATGGACTCCTCTCTCCAGCATTCATCCGTCTCTGTTCAGCAGTTCAGCACAGAGCCTTTAATCAGTGAGGGTTATACAGAGAGGTGCAGAGTGCAATATGTGCCATTCCTTTGATTCAATTATAATGGCCAAATTTCAGCTCTTTCGGGCAGGTGGCTCCTGTCAGTGTACCTACTGTGCATGTCATCCAGCAAAGTGCTTTCCCATTTTCATTTCCCTCATTTTTGTTCTGCAGGCTGTCAGAGTTCCTTTTCCCTTCTCGCAAATCCTTTAGTTCCGCTCTTGCAGTGTAATGTGTCTAAGCCCTGCTATGCAGTTCACTTGTTTGCAACATACCACATTTGTTTCTATTGCAAGTAGCTTCACACTCCTTTAAAGTTCATGTCATTTTCCTCTTTCCTTGAAAATTCATAGGTGAAATTATCTTCTTCCTTCCTCTGCATGTTAATTGCAAGCAGTTATAAAAATCTTTGCTGGCTACAGTTTGAGCTACTGCTACACTTCTTTTAGTGCAGTTTTTTGCTTGTAAGCTATCTTTTTCCATTAAGCATTTGCCTGCCTTTTTCTCAGTCTATATTTTTTTTCAAAGCTAGTTTTGTGGGGTTTAGGGGAGGTTTTATGCTCTAACTGAACCAAATTCTTTTTCTGTCTCAGCAGAGCAATCTTTGACCAGTTGGGCCATTTTTCTGTCAGCTAACTTTTACTTCCAATATTGTTCCTTCATGTATATTCAGTGAGTCTGTGCAGTAGTTCTCAGGTGTAGCAACTTTACCCTTCCAGCTTTTCTGATGTTTTAGGGGCCTTTGTCATTTTAATGTTTTGACCATGAGCACTTTACAGCTTTCCACTGTAATTACTCACATAATTTTATGCTATAATAGCTCAAGTCTGATTGTTTAGGCATCTGAGTAGGACATTGCTTGAAAAAATTGCTTCTACAAATATAGCTTTGTACTTGACATTTTTATACAGAAGCCACTAAACAAGAGATTAATTCTTCTCCTTTGGGCTCAGTGCAGTTCTTTTATATGTGTAAGTGATCCTATTGATACATAAGGACTGTTCATATCAGCCATGATTGCAAGACTGGACTCTTGCCTTCATATTTTGGACACAATTTAAGGCCTGTTCGACATTAGCTGCTTGTGGCATAGAGGGGAATTCATGCTGTGCCAAGCACTCAGTTTCACACAGCTTATTACTAATTCCACTCTAATGAAAACCAAAAGGCCATCCTGCTTTTCCTCTTCATTGCTCTTCTTACAAAACAACAAATGTCAGAACATCTTGTGGAATAGGAGTTAATGGGTCAACATTACATTCAATTTCTTCACTTTTTTTTTAAAGAAAATGCAAAAATTATGGGTTCGCTACAGTTCCAGTCATTAAGTAGTCTTGTTAATTGCAATTAATATTCTGAACTTTCACATCTAAAGAACAAGGGATTTCATTACTCAGGATTTATCATTGGAAAAAGCTATCTATTCAAATATAATCTGTAAGTATTTGCCAATAATTTTTGAATTTTAAGTCTCTGATTTTTTATCTTCCATCTGATTTACCTGCAGCAATTGCCTTTTTTATAAGGCACTCACTGTACTGAGAAAAGTGCTTAGGAAAGATATTATGTCTATGAGAAGTAGAGAAATCCTGCATTTTCCCAGTGATTTCTGGGACTACATTTCTTTTGTCAGTAGCAATTTAGTTATAAGCGTTCTTGTTGTAAGTCCTTCTCTATAAAAGGACATTATATTTTGATCATTTAAAACCTGAAGTCAAAAAGGACATGTAATTAGATTTACGTTGGTAGGAATTGAAAATGTATTGTAGTAGTCAGAATCCTCAGGAGAAGGTTTCTAATAAAATCTCTGTTTAATTTATTCGTATGTGGAAATACAGTCAATATTGAAATATGAAATGTCAATAAAAGTTAAAAAGTATTAGCATTCAGTGTATGTTACACTGCACAGACTTGCCAGTTTGGATTTTTTCTTTGCAAAGCTTTGTTTCTCAAAGCTTCTGTGTGCTTTTAAAACATAATCTCTCAAGGCAAATTAAATTAGTCTCTAAGAGTCATGAATATGGGTAGTTTAATTTTTTTTTTAAGATACCATATAGAAGTGAAAGGAAAATTATCTCATTACCATGAATGCAAATGAGGGGATGATTTTCTAGCATTCATGTATGGGATTCACTGGCTGTGTGATGGCGGCAGAGACCACTCAGCTGTTTGCTTGCTATTTTATTATCTCTACTGATTTGGACAAAAGACAGCAATCAAAAAAGTGTTAAGGCAGAATATTACATTAACATGATGTCTTCTTTAATAAACTTCTAACTTATGCATGGATTCCTGAAATATTTACCTGTCCCAAGTTCACTGCCAAATCCTAAACCTGTGGCAAAGGGGGGTTTTTATTTTCCCCGAGCCTCTTGGATGATACCATCTGCTTCCATAGCCCCAAACAAACCATCATCAGTAATTCAAAACAAAAATCCCCCAGGATGGAACAATTTTGCCTTGGGACTTCACTGCTACAAGGCACAGGCCACAAGACCCAGTTTCATGTAGGCTCTCTGCTAAGGAAACTTTGCCTGGAAGCCATCCAGGTCTCCTGTGGCTTTGTCTTTTCTTCTCTAACCAGCCATCAACATGAATGTGTTCCTTCTGGCCTCTTGCTGTAAAACTCATAAGGCTAGTGTTGATCTGCTCTGATGGAATTGCATAGTTGGGTTGGACTTTCTTAAGCGTCTTGTTTCCCTCCTGTTCAGCATAGATGCCTTTGTATTCCCCTTCCACCACAAATTCAAGGAGTAAGCTGAAGAGCAGCATTTGAATCCTGAGAGCTGTCAATGTATTTACTGCATTAGAAACGAGGTCTTCTTGGTACTGAAAGAAAATAAAAAGAGAAAATGCTTGTTTTCCAATAACTAAATTCCTGCTTATAAATTTACAATATGTTTTTGTCATTATTTTCTAATAATAACTTTCAATATCTCATTTGTTTTCTATATTGCCTGTGATAAAGACTTAGTTAATTTAAGAAAATTCCACATATTTATTAATGGAATAAATGGAAACATGGGAAGCATAGCAAATTATTTGCCTATAAGTCACATTACCACTGTGAGACAGATTTGAGGAGTTCTAAATATCTGCTTAGGAAAGCAGATATTTAACTCCCAAAAGCTTCTCTTCAGCCATCCTCTTTCACCTTTCTGCCTTTCTCTAGCGAGCCCATATGAGACTGAAATGAATTGAAAACTTATACTCACTTTCAAATGCACATTACTTCACATGGAGTACTGAGACACATTAAATACTTTGGCAGGTTTCCAGAGTCCCTTTTGTTTCTGTTACTTAGCAACAAACAGAACTTTTGGGGAGGCTATTGGTTTTTTGGGCTTGGTTTTGTTGGGATTTTTTTTTTTAATGAGTTTGTGCATGATTGTCTACCATTCTCTAGATCTACCACATTGTGTGTTTCTCATCTCGTGCCTCTTTTTGGATGAATAAAGGTAAATATTGCTTGGTTACACTACTATCATCTGTATTTATCTATGCATTCAAACATTCCTACAAACACACCCAGAGGGCACAGACAGGTGGGCCAAACATCTTCATTATTTTTTTTGTTGCTTTGTTCATCCTTCAGGTCTCCTGTGATGGCTGGAGGTCTATTTGCTGTTAACCGGAAATGGTTTTGGGAGCTGGGAGGCTATGATCCAGGATTAGAAATATGGGGAGGAGAGCAGTATGAAATCTCCTTTAAGGTAAGTCATCAGGTCACTTTATAGAATACTTCCTGGCTGGTGTTACCATGATGCTTTCATTCATCTGCGCTTCTATCTTTTTTAACTAAAACTAATTTAATACAATATTTCTTTTCATTAGGAATTTCCACAGTGCCATAAGCAAATGCTCCAGAAGCCATACAAAACTCACTAAGTGCAGCTCCGTCTGAAAACATGGTAGCTTACCACTGTCAAAGAATGAAGTTTCACCTTTTCCTTTTCATCAAGCCTTCTCCACTTACCTTCACTCAGATGGTGTGTTTGTGCTCAAGTGTTGAGCTCAGTTCAACTAACCAAGAACTAACCAAGCAATAATCCCAGCAAAAATTGAATAATTTTTCTGTCCAGATCAACAAGTTTAATCATCTCTGGGGATTGGGTCCCCTGGAGTCAGCTCAAGAAAATGGGTGGAAATAGAGAAAGTCATGGGAAGAAAGACTCCTTTCAATAGCAGTGGATCATTAGAGGAGCTCAGCTGCCATGAGCTGTTGTCTGCAGGCCAGCTGTTCCAAAGCTGACATTTTAAAATTGCATTTAAATTATTGTAATGACATACGGGGAGTTTTCAAATGCTCAGGTTATGTTCAACCAGCCGTGTTATAGTATACCCTCGTACCCTGTATGTGGACGCATGTATTGAAATCAGTACGTTGGCATTTACATGTAGAGCTGAAAGTCTTTTTACTTTCTACATGTAAGACAGGTGCTTTTATTAGTTTGCTGAGGACTAACATGTCTAATTTTGAAAACTGAGTTTATTTTCCAGTATACTCAAGGACATAAAAATTTTACATCATGGTCTCTACATGCGAAGTTTTACAAGGGCTTGATAGAATTTCATGACTTAGATTATTTGAGTCAAACATATTTGGATAAAGCTTGGAACTGAAATTGCAATTCAAATTTAGCTCCAGGATCTTTCCAGCCTACTTCCAAACTCTGTCAGTGTAAAGCTCTTTAAATAAATGTAGCATGTCAGCCATGACTAATATCAGATATCTTGCAGCTGAGTTTCAGCTGCAATTAAAACAATGCTGAGGCCATTCTGTTGAATGAAATGTAGTGTCACCCAGCACTGGTTTTCCAGGCTGTCTTTACAGGAGTTCCAAGAGCTGCAAAATGTTTTGCATTAACTGGCTTACTCTTTTGTTTCTCCAAATCATTTTTATACCTTGACAAAACAAAACAGGAGGGCAGGGGAAACTCAATAGCTAGAATATGTTTAGAATAGATTGATTTCCCTTCCATCCATTTAAATTTCAGAGGCAAATATAAGTAGTTACTTGTAGCTGTCACAGTGGTCTCCGACAGGTCACCCATGATTTTATTATCCTATTTCAAATATTCCTTTTATTCAGCATCGCAAAGAATATACTTGCTCTCTCCAGACTTTGTATAGAACCAACTGGAAACTGAGGTACCAGATTGTCCCAGTGTGTTTTGTTCAAGTGAAAGATGGGTTTTTTTTGGAGGCAGCTGTGGCACACTGGGTCTCCTTTCACTCATATCTTTGGATCTATCTAATTAGTATATAATAACCTTAGAGTCCTTGTCCTTTCTTACTAATGTTAAAAGAAGAAAAAAATAGTCTTCAGAAATTACTGCCAAATAGGAGTAAATTCCTGTTGGAAGAATTTAAGAAATGTAAATTAAAAAAAAAAAATTGCTGTTTGGTTTGGAATAGCAGAAATTGGGAAAAAAAATCACAGAGGTGGAAGAGACAAACAGAAAGAACTGAGGTTTATTATGTCAGAATAACCATATTAGCTTGGGAAAAGTTTCTGCTTCAGCAGATTCTACTGTAGCTATAGATTCAGTTATCTTAAAACTTACTAAATGAGGGCAAGTTGGCCAGACAGTTCAATTTACCAGATCTGTTAAGAAAACTTGGTAAGATAGTAGACTTGCAAATTGTTCCAAAGTCAGTGAAAGTCAGTAAAAAATCCAAACAACCAGACTGGTTCAGCTTCCTTGGCTTCCCTTGAGTGAATCTAGAGATGACAATTTACTCTTTTTGTAGAGCATCCACATCTGTGGCCTGTAGAAGTGTTGTCAGACAGGTGCTGTGTGTTGATGCCACATCTTTAATTTGCCTGGCAAATAATTACTTGGAGTACTCGGGATGGTGACACGGCCACAAACTGCCTCAAAATATGACTTCTTCATTAAATAGTTTCTTAGACTAAATTTTACTTAAGAAAGTGCTCAGGATATTATTTTTTGGCAACATCAGGATCTTTTTTTTTTCATTAAAAAGGTGTATGACATCTTGCTGACAGTACTCTAAAGTGTGTGCTAGACTTGTGAAAGCTGGCAAAGCACTGGAACTCACCTGATTAATAGCATCTCTTCACAATAACAAGGAAAGCCACTATTTGGGAAATCCTAGATTTAAATCTGTTAGACAGGCGTTAGACAGGCACAGTTTATGTAGTAATCAGCACAACACAGAGTAGCAAAACATACTAATGTCCTGTGTTTCCTGAAGACCCTTGTGGTTGACCTTGGCTGTTTTCCAGGTGCCCAGCAAAGCTGCTCTAACACCCCCCTCCTCATGTAAGTAAGGGAAAGGAAATATAACAAAAGGCTCATGGATCAAGATAAGGAGAGTGAGAGATCACTCACCAGTTACCATCATGGACAAAGCTGACTGACCCGGGGAAAAAATATTTTATTACTTATCAAATCAGAGTAGGGCAATGAGAAATAAACTCAAATTTTAAAACACTTTCCCCCACCCTTCCCTTCTCAACTTTACTCCCTATTTTCTTCTCCTCCTCACTCTCAGGGGAACGGGAAATGGGGACTACAGTCAGTTCCTCATATGTTGTCTCTGCTGCTCCTTCCTCCTCAGGGACAGGACACCTCACACTCTTCACCTGCTCCAGCATGAGGTCCTTCAGGGGCAGCAGGTTCTCTGTAATCTCTGCTCCACCATGAACCCCGTGCAATCCTTTGCACTAGACATTCCTTAGGCATCGTAAATCATACCTTAACAAAAATGCTAATGGTGATTCCCTAGCCTCTTGAAGGTAGTCATCTGTATCTACAGTGGTTTTATCCTTATCCATGCCAATACATTTTCCAAATTCTCTTCATCCTTGTTTTCCACAACACACCTCCAAGTTCATTAATCCCTTTCATTATCATCATAATCACTATTAATTCCCTCCACAGCTGTCAGTCTTGTTTGGAGACAGGGAGAGAAGGAGCATTACCACTTGTTAGTGCAGTTGTAATCTATATACAGGACTGAAAAATGTGGAATATTTCCAGTTTTCTCAGAATTTTAGAGGTGCTGGTGAGTATTGTTGAAATACCCACAATCATCAGTTCCCAGTTTACATGGTACAGTTTTAATATTTCCTGACAGGAAATCCCACTTCACCTCCAGTAAATGGTTTTGCAATTTGCAGACCCATTGACTGTAGATTTGCAGTCAGTGATCCTATTTTTTCAGGCTTTTTTTTTTTTTTTTCATTTAGAGGAACATTCTCACTGTGTGTAAAAGTTCACAGGAAAATATTGTTCTTTCTCCTTTTCTACAACTGCCAAATCCATTCTTTTGGCTTATATTTCAAGACTGACTGAAAAATCCCATAAAAAATTTATATTCTTATTTTCTACTTCTTCAGCCCCACTGTTGTAATACATTTCTCCTGTTTGTAGTCCATCCTTCTTGCACAATATGAAGAGCACTAAGTTGTTGCCTTTGCATGAAATACTTTATATTCCTCTTCCACCAGTTTGCTGTTTGTATTTTCCCTTCATTTCAATGTCTCTCACTGTTGTCTGTCTTGTTACTGACTCTCAGCTGCAGTATATTTCTCAATTAGTTTGGAAGCCTAATCCAAAGTCCATTCAGTACCCTCTAAACCCTTTGCATAATTTGCTGTATGTTTATTTTCCTTTTCCCTAGTGACACATCCTCCACTGCTCAAAAATCATGAGTCTCTTACTACAGTAATTATGACTATAGTGTAGCATATGGATTGGAATCTCAGTCTTGCATGCACAGTATTTACATTTTTCAGGTAGTTTCCAGGCTGGATCACTCATAAACCAGAGAGATAAGGTGGGGGAATAACAAGAGAAGGCAGAATTCAATTTAAAAGACAAAGAAGTAATGTGAAAAGAGAGTGATTCACCCAAAATCCCACAGGAGCTGTAGAACAGAGCCACAAAATACATCTGTGGCATCTAAACTCCAGTCAGGAACAAAGCCACATAACCACAGCCTAATTTCTTTTAAAGCTTGTGTTAATGCCTGCTTTTTGCTTTCAACCATCCCTATAAAGTGTTTTGCAACATTCTCTTGGAAGGAGCCATATAAAGATAAATTGTGAGATAGTCTCTAGTTGACACATAGAATACTCTTTTGATCTTTCCAGGCTGGAATTGCATTATTTTGGTTTCATCTTTGTTTTTTATACCTCAGCTGCAGACCAGATTCATTGCTTTTGTAAGGAGACATTAACGATCCTGAGAGTTTCATTGCTTCTGATATAATTTTGCCAAATGTCCCACACCACCTGAGTTTCTTTCATGATATACTGGAGGTCTGTAATACTTAACACAGAAGTCATTCTCCAATTTCTTGTATTTAGTGCATGTGACATAAAAATGCACATTTTAAAGACAAAGTTACCAGAATTGATCTTCTCAGGAAAATATAAAAAATGCTTTTAATACCATTCTGAAGCTGAAAGATAAACAGGAACAGATGCTAAATGTCCTTCAAGGCAGCCCAAGATTCATTTCAATTACCCTGCACAGCATACCTCAGGTGCAGCACAGCATTTTCAGGTTTTATATCTATCAAATATAAGCCTAACACAGTGTTATTTCCTCCCACTTGTTATTGCCTCAGCATATCTGACTGTGGTTTCATTTTTTTTTTAACTGTTATCCTACTGCTTTAGAGGAAATGCAATATATGTCTACTGCAGCTCTTATTGCCTCACTTTAAGTACTATTGGCCTATATATATATATATATATATGCATGTATGAATGTATGTATGTATATACTTAATTTCTGATTTCTTGTCTTTTAAATTTTTGCTGGGGCTGACCTTTGAGTCACACTGCTATGCTGTATATTCTTCAAAGGCTAAGAAGCCTTGATTAAGCACAGTAATAATTTGTCTAGCCTTTGAAATGCCACCTCCATTTAAAAAACAAGAACAAATAGTTAACATAGGTCTGCACTTTCACTGGGGCACTGGGTTGTTTGAAGACAGCCACAGAGAGCAAATTCCCACTTAAACACTTTGCATGTTACATCATCACAAATGATGTAACATGCAAAGGAAATATTGTTAGAAAAGTAAATAGCATTATTTTAATACTCTTGCTTTTATGATATTTTACTATGTTTATGCACATTTTCCAGTGAACTAGCTATCGTGAGACGAAACAGGTGAGGATTTCAAGGTTTATTTAAGAGGTAGATTTTACAAAATGTTTTTTTTAAAAGAAAATTATCCTCATGTCCTCATGGCATGACTTCATGCAATATTGCTCTGGGTGGTAGTAAGCTATTTTGGCATTGGGTCTCCATTCCCAATCCATCAGTATACTTCCTCCCTAAGAAGGGCTGTGCTTACTAGGACAGTAGATGATATGTCCAGAGGCACCTATCCAGAGCTCCTATGCCTTAGTCAATTCTGTGATGGCAGGCAGTAAGCAGCAGCTTTTGGAGTAGCTATCAAACCTATCCAACTGCACATCATGTCCATGGAATTTAAGGACAATGCCCCACTGTCACTGTTTTCAAGCCTTCCTTAGACATTTACATTAGTATACTTAGGTTTGCTCTGTAATGAGATTAGATCCTCAAACATTTCATTATCAGGTCTCAGTTGGATGCTGTGGCTAATTGTTAAGGGACTGTAAGGGATGATACACAAATGATCCATAAGAAGCAGCTACCTAAATCACTTTGTAATTCAAGCCTTCACTCTAACCCCGGTTTTTTCACCATTCACAGTATGACTAGCACAGTCAGGGGCTGAATTCCAGGACCAGACAGATATACCCACTATAACACAAATAGGCAAGCACAATGAAAGTGGCCAAATATAAACTCCCTTCCAACACAAACTGTCCTATTCCTATTCCTATTCCTATTCCTATTCCTATTCCTATTCCTATTCCTATTCCTATTCCTATTCCTATTCCTATTCCTATTTTATTTATATATATTTTATAATTTTCTTTTGAACATACTCTGCTTTTGCAAAGTGAGATTCTGGGTGGGAGAGCCTGCCACTTTACCATATCCCAGTTACCAGCATGCCAAGAAGGCCACCATGACTGTAGGAGGGGTCAGCACAGAATGATGTGGTTTTTTCACATACACATTAGTTAAAATGTGCTTTTTTTGCCTCATTTGTTTCCAGGAATCATTCTTTCACTTGCTTTCTGTCTGCTTTTCAGGTGTGGATGTGTGGAGGTGGCATGTATGATGTTCCATGCTCTCGAGTTGGACATATCTACCGAAAGTATGTCCCATATAAAGTCCCTTCTGGAACCAGCCTTGCACGGGTGAGTAATTGGGTCTTGCTGTTTTTCATTTTCATTCATTATCAGTCTCTTCATTCCTTGTGAACCAGTTTCCAGTAAACTATGAAAATGGAAAATGAATGTTTCTTTATTTTTCTGAAATGAGATGTGCAATTACTGCAGTTATCCTGCCTTTCAGAGATAAGATTGCCAAGAATAAAATGCAAGCTTAAAATTACAGGGTTGGACGTCTCGACACAGAAGCACGTTTCATGCTGATTCAAAAGAACCTAGGAATAACCTAAGGCTTGTGGTTCTCAAATTGCACAGTGTTGACAGTCACAGTTGTTGTAAGCAGGACCAATTTGAATGCACATTTTTTTATCAGTCAGCAGAACTGGCAGAATCTCATGGAAGGGATGTTTTCTGAGGCAAAAGGACTGAGTAACAATTATTTGAGTGACTGTCTGATTATTGTGTAAAATCTGGTTGTGGAATACAGCCAGCTTGGAGCTGTGAGAGTGAGAAATTACGAGACCTCTAGACATTTCTCAAAGACTACTGAACACATTTTTATGCCCATGAGAGGCTTTTTGCTCAAGAGAAAATGTTCTGTAACTTTCTGGAGATGTTCACAGGATGTCAAAAGATGGGACATGAAGGGCACAGATGTAGCTTCCAGGAAGATACTGGTATTTATTCATGCTTGAGTTTAATCTTTTCTGGTTTAGAGGATTTTTTAAATAATAAAATGACATTAATATTAAAGTCTGCATATTGCCATAGGGTAATATGTTATGACTCATAGTTTTTTCTTAATAATGAAAATGTGGTATGAATAAAAGAATGAATTTCTTGCAATAAGGGGGAGATATTCTCGGTTTCAGCACTGCAGGACCAGACTTGCTGTACTAACTGCAGCAGAAAAAGGAGGCTGCCTGTGCTGCCTGCCTGACAGCTGGCTAGACAGAAAGAAGAATTTGCATTAACAGGGCATCAGTGTAGACACTGTGACACACAATTCAGTAATGGAATTAGTTGTGGGGGCAAAAACTGTATTGACTAAATTGTGAGATTAATATCTTCCCCAAGTGTGTAGCTCTGTGTGTTGTCAGAATTGCCCCATCCAGATTTTTGGACTGCCTGAATGAAACTGCCTCATTAATGATATTCCCTGCAAAAAATCACACACAACTGGAAATAAGAAATTCAAACCTCAGTCTCTGTTTTCTTCTGTTACAGCACATAGTATCTCATTAGAGAATATACTGTCTCATGCACTCGTGTAGGAGTGAAATACAGTCATTTCTATTCTGGCATCTTGCACAGTTCTGCACTTAAATGGCTTTCATGGTGGCACTGTGATGGCTACAACCATCAGGTAGCCACAGTCTGCAGCCTCCCTGTACTATTTCTTTTAGTTTGATTTCAATAAATAATTTATGAAATATTACTGAAAAAACATTTCCAGTTATAAATATGATATCTCTGCCCATGCACAGACTTATATTATTTTATAACTTGTGGGAAAAGATATAGTGGTGGGTCTTATCCGTCCATTCAAAATGGATAGTTCTTTCTGTGTTGTGCCAGTCCAAAACATGATGCTTAGGTAAATTTGTGAGATACAGTTATCACTAAAAGAAACTTTGAATTGTCAGATTCACGGCTTCTTTCCAGTACAGTATCCTTTGCATTGCATCAAGGCTAACAAGAGCACAAGAGCATCTGTATGTTTTGGTGTTTTGGGCTATTTCAATAACTAGGCAAGAAATATGGGTTCTTGACCCATCATATTGTGTGCAATTTTAAGTCTAAAAATATTCTCTTTCGCGCATCCTTGCCAGAAAAAATCAAGGACAGATTAATCTTCAGCATGTCAGCCCCAAATGGAGCTGTTAGCCAAAATAATATTAGGCATCTATCCACAGGAGTGGCCTGGATATTTCAACTGTCTTTGCTTTATCCTCCAAATGTCATATTATTCACTGATTGTAATCAATGCCTTATGAGTTTTTTATTAAAGACTTCCTTCTAGTTCAAATATATAATGAGTAGCACTCACAAGAATATCTGGAAATATTATCCCCACTGCCAAAAGCAGTACTTTTCACTACTAAGTAGTTTCCACAAAGGTTTTTACTAAATCTTTTTCCACCTTCTGCTGTTTAAAGGAGCATGCCGGAGATGCATTTCAGAAATGAATGAGCCCTAGAAAGCCCAGCTCTGATTCTATAAATGATTGCAAGAGACCTTTGTTAATCAAGGGAGAATTTCCCTTGTGCAGATAATGCATAAAAGGTTGACAGATTTTCCCATCCTCTTCCCCAGCACCAGCACAAGGGAAATGGAGACTGGAATTAGGAAGAGAACAGAGCTTCCAGACAAATGCAGGCATAGCCCAAATCATGTCATGGATTTCCTTTCAAGCTGTTTCATCTTATGTTTACCATTAAAATATAATCTTTAAAGTGAGCATTTTACCTTTCCTTGGGATTTCACCTCTCTTTATCTTTTAGCAGCAAGTTTCAATACACAGTTTAAGCCAGCTATGTAACACTTGACCAAGCTCAAGTATCTATTTAGAGAGCATGAGAATCACGTATGCTTTAATAAATCAGAGACATGTCAAAAGTTTTGTTGCACCTCCCCATCACTAAATAATCATTACTGTACCACACATAATAGTATGGATCATGACATTCATTTTCTCTCTTCCCTGGCACTCAAGATTGGGGAAGCTTATGCATATTGGTTGCTGCCACATCCCACATAAATTGAAAAGCATACACATATAAAACAGTAATATTGTTTGGTGGTGCAAGCAAAATTAAAGAAAGCCATAAACATGCATAGCAGATTTATATCAATAGGCATGCAGATGTCAACACCGATTCCACTTTATAACCTGGAAGCATCACATAATTATTCATTCATTCAGAACCTGCCAAACTCTGCACAAAACTGCAGTAAATAACTTATTTTGCCTGTTTGTTTTAAGTAAGGCATGTTTAGAAAGCAAACCCCCAGATTCTAAAAACTGCAGAATTGTTTTCCTGGATTATTTCAGTTGCTTTTTGTATTTCTGATTGTTGTTTCCCTTTTAACAATTCTAGCTAAACCATTTACTTTTATCCAGTTACCTATGAAACTGGACTTCAGAATATTCTTTGCATTTTCTTCTAGGTGTATCTCAATTAATTATTTATATTCTTTAGTTTTGTATTTGCTTTTTGGGTGGTTTTTTTTCTATTTGTACTTCTATAAAAGCTGTAAGAAATATATCAATAAAATTTCACTGTTATATAGGATATGCATAGATAAACTAAGTTTCCAAATATATCTACAGAATTTCTTTTTCCTGCAGGTATTTTACACAGCATTTTAGGATTAGACCACAGAACATTAGCACGTTAGGGCTTTTTCAAGGGAGGGTCAATCCCACTGAAATTCAAATTGGATGCTAACCCAGCAGGGTGGTGAATCCTAACCTTAAGCTGAATTCCTCGTCTGTCAGGACAAGGGATCCCACAGCACAGTGTTCATCTAGCAGATCAGGCACAAGCACATTGACATTTCTCTCATTACATGCTGTCACTGAATTGGAACTTGCACAAGTTTGGGTTTAGGAATTCAGCAGGTAAAAGTGGGCTCAGATTCCCACCTGAGCCATTGACTCAGCTTTTTTGTGTGGCTTCAAAAGGGATCGTCAGAGAAAATTATTATAACTATATCATCTGGTGCTCTGGCCATGCTTGCAATTTTGTCAGAGCTTCCTTTAATATGACTGTTTTGGTCTATTTTTTCCATCTGCAAACAATATTTAGGAGTTTCTTCAAGTGGTCCATGAACATTTTATATTCTTTTTCCAGGCAGATTAAAGAATCAGGACAATCAGTAAGGTGATGGCTACATTTTCTCGTGACCAGAGTGTGCATGCTGTTCAGGGAACACTGCTGGCACTTTTGCAATCACTTCTGTACTACAAAAGACTGTAGCAAAAAGTCAGTTATGATTCAGCAACCACAGTAAGCAGGTACAACGTCAGCTTAGAACAGGCACGTTATTAAGGAATCAGGCAAGAATCACCTTCTTAGAGCAACTACATGATAAGTATGATTATTACACAACACAGCTGTTAAGTTTCCGTTGTAATATTTTTCATTAAGAGATTTATAAATTTATTATTAAAATTAATTAAACTGAGATCTCAAACAGAGTACTTACCAAAGAAAATATTTAAATTATTATCCTTGACTTTGACAAGGCTTTTGACACTGTCTCACATAATATCTTCATAGGCAACTCAAGGGGAATTGGTTAGATGGGTGGATAGAAGGCTGGCTCTGTGAGGAAGAATGGCAAATCCCAGAGGGTTGTAGTCAGTGGCACAGGGTCTAGTTGGAGGCCTGTCACTGGACCCAATATTATTTAACCTCTTCATTCATTCAGAATTATTTGAATGAAGAGGCAGGTGTGCCTCCTCAGCAAATTGACTGATGACACAAAGCTGGGAGGAGAGGCCGATACCCCGGAGTGCTGTGCAGTCCTTCAGAGGGACCTTGGCAGGTTGGAGAGATGGGCAGAGAAAAACAAGCTGAAATTCAATAAAGACAACTGCAGGGTCCTGCATCTGGGGAGGAAAAAAACCCAGGCACCAGCTCAGGCTGGAGGCTGAGCTGCTGGGAAGCAGCTTGTGAAGAAGGACCTGGGGGTCCTGGTGGACACCAAGCTGTCCATGAGCCAGCAGTGTGACCGTGTGGCCAAGAGGCCAACGGTGTCCTGGGGTGCATTAGGAAGAGCATTGCAGCAGGGCAACAGAGGTGATCCTGCATCTGGTGAGTTCTCACGTGGATTGCTGTGTCCAGTTCTGGGCTCCTCAGGACAAGAGAGACATGGAGCTTCTGGAGAGGGAAATAAAGATGATTAAGGAATAGGAGATCTGTCTTACAAGGAAAGGCTGAGGGAGGCCTTCTCAAGACCTGTTCAGCCTTGAGAAGGAACAACTGAGAGGGGACCTCATCAATGTCTGTCAGTATCTG